CAGGGAGAAGGTACTATTGCCACTGCGGAAAAAGTTACAAAAATCCAGAAAGTTTGTCAAGGCACAAGGGGGAATGTGGTATGGAGAAAAAGTTTCATTGCCTCAAATGCAAGTACAAAGCTCATCGAGTTGATAATTTGCGAAGACACATGATTCCACATTATTTCATTTCTAGCGATGGAAGTACTATCGATGAGGACAGTTACAATTGGGATTTACAGTTTATAATACATACAGCCAGAAAACGTAGAGGATTTTGAGAATACTGTTGTAATCAATATGTTGACACTCTATATAGTGAAAAACTATTATGTTGTACTGAAATTATACTGTATCAAATTTTCACTCTATAAAGTTTTTGAAAAACTTCGTTGAATTCATCACTTCATATTGATAATGATTATTTTTATGTTTACTTTATACAGTTTGTAAAAGCCAAGCGGAATGAATTCATTATTTCGGTTACTGTATATTTGAAAAAATTCCGAAACACATCGAATGTAAATTATAATTTGACATTCTTCAACGTAGAAATGCCACCCCTACCTTCAACCCTCTTCGAATGACAGGTACAACCCCCAATGTTTTCATTGGGAAGTATAGGTTTGTGATATATTGTTTGAAAGGTCTCTTCATTCTCTAATCAAAAATGTTATCGCTTTCAATTTTATCGCAACAATTAAAATAAAATGAAGTTACCGAAATTCGATAAATTACACTCAAAAACTAAAATCTAATGCAAAACGTAATGAAATGTAGAATACGAAAAAGAAATATGGATGTTAACGAAGACGTTCAAAATGTTCACCGCAAACATCTTGGCAACCTCATAATCTCAAAGAAAACTGTCTTCTAACATGATTTAACATATCAGGCGTGCCCGACCTAATTGCAAGTGTTATTCATTATTTTCAGATCCAGTTTTGTACACATTGCTTTTCACATATCCCCATAAAAAATCTAATGATGAAAGATCAGGTGATCGCGTTGGCCATTCAATCCATCCTCGCCTCCTTATCCACCGATTGGAAAATGTTTTATCGAGGTATTACCGGACGTTAACTAGATAATGTGGTGATACTCCATCCTGCTGAAACCATATCCTATTCACTGGAACTTGAGGGTTTCCTGGATCAGGATATAAATTTGCTAAACTTGAAACGATATCATTTTGAGGTAGTACCAAATAATTATCGCCATTCAAGTTGCCCTCAATGAAAAAGGGACCAATGATATGGTTTCCTACAATCCCTGCCAAACAATAATCTTTTGAAAGTATTGCGTGTGGTCTTCTCTCATCCAGTGAGGATTTTCCGTTGACCAGTAGCGGCGATTTTGCCGATTATCATGACCGTTAAGAGACAAAGTCACTCATCAGAAAACATAACGTCTTTTAATTGGATGATATTGTTATCCAACATGTACATCATTTGCTCACAAAAATAAGTTCTTCTACCAAAATCGTCTTCCATGAACTCCTGAGTAGGTATCATTTTATGGGGATGCATTTTATTTTCTTTTAATATGTTTACTATCGATGTATGGCTAACATTGAATGTAGTGGATGTCTGCCTACTCGATGTATGTGGGTTTTCCTCAAACTCAAGCATCACATCTAATTTGAGTTCATCACTCATTGCATTGGCAGCTGCTGTTTTTATCTGCCCCACATGATCAAGTTCGCGAAACTGCTTCTCTAGTTTGCTTATTGTTCTTTGAGATATGGGCGGTAAATTAGGAAATTTCTCATGAATTAGGCGAGCTACTTCCTGTTGTGTTCGGGTTTTATCTCCGTAACCAATCATTTGTGAAACTATTATCTTATGCTTTTTCGTTAATCTAACCATTTGTCAGACTTTAAGTTAACGAACTTTAAACTTAAATTGAAATACTGCCAACTAATGTTGTAACATACAAAAAAGTTGACGAAGCGTTTTGAACTAACGTTGACACAGAAATTATTTACAGTGTTTTAAAGGATACCATCTAAAAAGAACATTGCTATGGTTTTTGTTTACTTTCTTATTATCAATACCTCAACATGAAATAAGTTTTGAGTATATTGTAATGAGTTGTGAGTGTATTTTATCGAATTTCGGTAACCACATGATTATAATTTGTTCAATCTCAATTGTTGTAATAAATTCGAAAAAGATAACATTCTTGAATAGAGAAATAAGACATTTTTCAAACGATATATCACAAGCATATACTTCTCGTTTGAAAAATTGGAGGTTGTACCTGACATTCGACGGGGGGTTGAAGGTATTTCCGTTGCAATATGTCAAATTTGGCTTTTATACACTATATAAATTACCGAATGAAATCGAAATAATTCATGTTCTACAAAATTTTCACATTTTATTCAAAAAATGTCAGGTAGAGCCGATAATCTGTAATTCTAATTTCTTTGTTAGATTGGATATGGTAAATCTCGGAAAACATTATTATAAGTGTAAAGGGTGAATTTTCAAAGATTTATTATTTACGGGGACTTGGATAGATTTCACAGTTTTTCACTATATAGAGTGTAGACAGTGTCGACCGGAGATAATTGTGTCAAAGTTATTTTCCTGGTTTGTTGACTGTGGTTTGAAGGCTTCGTCTATCGTCTTGAAAATGCCCGTCTTAAAAACCTATATACCTCGTCCAACAATCCCGGTAAATGGCTTTGACACGTCGATTACTATCACATTACTACTATTTTTCGTTTATGGTGGATGAACTTCATTTCTAATAAGGTGTTCGGACAAATATATTACCCTGCCATTTGAATGAAAATAAAATTAGGAATCTCTGAGGGTGATTGATTCAGAAAACTCAAATATTTGATAAAATAAACGTAGAAAGACTATATTGTTTTATTTTTTCTCAACAATCCACAAAACGTAAACCTTTCATAGGGATTCGAAGTCAACTTCATAAACTCATTAGCCTGATACTCAGGCGATCGGTCTAACAAGACAGTTTTATATAAGAATATACAAACACGAATATAGTAACATTAACAGGGTGATGTGAAGGTACATAATTGTATTCAAATTACAAAAACCATCATACTGTAATGAGAAAGTGGAATATTAGAATAAATTAAAATGAGATGGAGAAATATAATCATATTAGTCGAAATGAACGTTATTAATGATGAGGAAAATGTAAATAATGCATAAAAATAAATAAACGCAAGGAGGAGATAAACGAATGAAAGTTTAAGATTCCTAAGAAAGAACTATTCGGAAGCGTAAGTCAAAAGAATGATAAAGAAAAAAAAATAAAAAACAGTATAACAACGCTAACGCTTGGAATGAGGCTGGACATAGCAGATCACCTTGTTATGTAACAAAAAGGCCAAGGCGTAAGCGCATTTGCGGCGGGAGGTCAAAAGGAAAAAGAGAGTGAAGGAGGCAGGAGTGGCAGCAACTATAAGTGCACCCCCTCCACCCCTACTCCACCTCCAACAGCGATGACACTTCTTGCGGCGGGCGCCAAGAGCTCTGCCTTGAATAAAGGCAAGGAACCGGCTGTCCCTGCAGGAAAGCTCTCTCACTTGTGCACCTCCACGGAGGGAACCCCAAGAAGGTTGAAGAAGCTGCGCAGCGACAGTAATGTCGCTACACCTTCCAAAACCTTCATGGAGGCCACCATGAGACACCTCAAGGTTGCCAAAGAGAGTGTGTGTTCGGCGAGTCTTGGCCTACACCTGCCAATATAAAGATGTATCCTAGTGACCTGTACACCTTCTTGCTGTCGGTCTACACTCACCCTCCCTACTCTACAGCTGCAGAACGCTAATTTATAAAAAATATATTATTGTTTCATAAAACATTGACAATGAGTGGGATATTATAATTGAATAAACCGTTAGTTGCACTAATAATCTAATCAACAAGTTCAAAAACATGAAAAATAGAGATAAAGGTCCTAAAAATATGAGCGATAGCTCATATTTTTGAAGACATTACATGAAAAGCCACATTTTTTTCAAAAGTACATCCGGAGATACGAAAAACCAGCATAAGAGAATCGAAAACCGAGAGTTAGTTAAAATATCTTGAGAAATTGCAATGAGGAAGTTTTCCAATATCGTCTCAAATAACACCAGAAAAAATTGAAACGAAACTGGCGAATTCCGTTTCTTGTGTTGTTTTAGAGCCAGTTTAATTTTTTTAATTTGATCTTATAATTCAAATTAATATCCATTTTTTGTAGTGAAACTTTTTTTAAAACAACAATAAAAATAAAAACAACAATAAAAATCAATTGTCGTTCCGAGGCGACTTCATTGATTGTTTTTTGATAATTTATTTAAGGTTGATTTTCTGTTTCCCAATCTATAATGAACATAATAATGAATAAATATATATAACTACAAATTGAAGTCTTCTGTTTATTTATAATAAGAAATAAATATATTTTTTATGACGCCTGATTCTTATTTTACACTTTGCCATGGCAAACTAAATATTCTGAGACCTCAAGTAATTTGTAGTAACTACTAGAGTGCTTCAATCAGATCGAAGATTACTTTAGATAACCTGATCGTTGTAGTTGAGTGTTATGTAATCACGACTATATATGACTATATACTATACCATACTACGACTATATACTTGTAGTCGTAATTAGAGATCATATTACAAAATGGTTTGCCCTACACTGGATACTCCCTTGTAAACATCAAATTACCGAAACATTCAAGAATATCAGTATGAAATTAATATTACAGAAATATACAGGAAGTTGTATAAGAACAAGAACATTTTCTGAAAATTCATTATTAGTTGGTTACTGAATGACTTGACGAGCACAATAATGTAAAAATTGCAATCAACAGTTTGAAAATGAATCCATAACTTTAAACACTGTAACAGTATTATTGAAAATTATTTATTATAATAAAATATTATGTGAACATTTATTCAGAAATATTTTTGAATGCATGAGATTTATTGAAATATAATGAATTGAACATTGTGAGTGACAAATATGTTGAAAATAAAAGGAGAATATAAAATGTGTAATTCCGAAATGATGAACTATCTGAAAGATGTGGCATCACCGCACCGTTGAACAGAAAATCGCATACAATCATTTCACCATGTCCAACGTACCGTTCTGCTCACTGCTGACGTCATCGTGCTTGGCGGGATGCCTCTATATTGGACTAGAGATTCACTTTGCTTACCGTTGTTACTGAGTCCCACGTGTTGATGTCCTTAATTCTTTACGCTCTCATGTTTGTGTTTGTTAATAATATGTTAAAGATACGATTTAAAAATTTCATCATTTATTGTGGCGGTATATAAAAATGTGAAGTGTATGAATTTACAGAATTAATTCATTTCGGTAGTGTGGTAGCTTGTCTGACAATACGATATGTGAACCGCTGTTACAGTGACCCTAACCTCAACCACTATTGAGTGTATTCTATGTTCTCAACGATTGTGGGGGAAATAGGGGCTCGTTAGAAATCCAGACAATGAATATGGGAAAGGGTATGTAGATTTTATTAGTAGGTATAGCATAATTGAAAATGTCGTAACACGAAAGCAATTGTGAAGATTAATAGGAAAACGTTTTGAACATGGAGGTTTGATGGTCAATTTGAAAAAAGGTATTATCATTTGAAATGTATTTTTCAATTTAAGAATGAAATTTCTAATTGGAAATCAATCAGTCCGATATGATGAAAGATACGTACACTTAAAAATTCAATGATGTCGAATGAGGTTCAAAATATTTCTCTCTTTGCTTTTCCTATTCTGTCGATAGTACCACGACGGATATTAGATTACATGTGAAAAATCATTATTCAACTATCCTCACAGAAACCCTCCTTTCAAAATAGCGAGATTGGCTCATAGAATACATGGCATTACATACTCAATAGTAGGTAAAAATCTTCATTCTTGGACTATTTTTGGACTTTAGAAGCAGAAGAAATTCGTAGGTAATGGTGTCTTGGTTTGATCTATCCTACACTGACGAACAGTAATGGTCCAAAACCGGTCTCTGAGTGATCACTATCTTGAGAATTTTTTCGATGAGAAAACTTTTACAAATATTTGTATTATGTGATTCAACATATGTTCAAGGTTTTAGGTTGGGAAGCAGTTTTTTGTCACTTAGCCGAATCCTAATGAGTAGGAAGCAGGAAGGAGTGAATTTCTTAAATTTTGTTCGCATTATTTAGTTCCAAAAGTACTTTCTGACTAAAAATAAAACCAGTTTTCACTATGAGTAGGTATATACTATTGAGTTAAAATTATTTTCTTTGCTAACCAGTTGAAACTTGTTCATGCTGAAGTTTAACAAGACTTTGCAACGTGCCTAACAACGTGCTATTCCTAATATGATATATTTCCACGATTCGTTAGAGAAATCGAAAAACTTTGGTTTAGCGAGGCATTAGTTCATTCCACTACATGACAGTGCTAGTTAGCGAAGCAAACGGGTTGAATAATAGTCAAATGGCCTTGAAGTATAAGTGTTTTATTGTTTTTTATTAGTTCCAACTTCCATTGTCTAATATGATATAAATTGATTTGAAATCCCTGAAAGAATCTGAAAAAAAATATCTGAAAAATTATATTAAGCAAAGAGACTGAAATTACAATGAAATAAAATACAAAAAAAACAACCAAAAAATTAAAATAAAAAATTGAATTATCAACACGAGATGACAATTAAAAAAAATAATAACAAGAAAAAAAATAATAAGAAAAAATTAAAATATTCCAAGCCCAGTTACTTCATGACGTTGCTTGTATTTTATTTCATTGTAATTTCAGTTTTTTTCTTTATATAATTGTTAATTTTCAGCTAATGTTTTTAATTTTTACAGATTCTTTCAGGAATTTCAAATCAATTTATATCATATTAGACAAAGGAAGTCGAAACTAATAAAATGAACCACGAAACATTGTCAACCACCTTCAAACAAATGTTTTATTGTTGAAGTTTTGAGTCGTCGAGTTGCAGAGGCATAACAATCTGTTTTATTTTTCACGCATACTATATGTATTATCAGTTGCTTGACATAATAACTCCTCCTTACATACGATAAATAGCATGGACCATTTATGTTTTAAGAACACTGATTTGAACCACATTGTTAATATAATACCACTACATATTTATAAAATATAAATCAATTAGATTTCGTTACTCTCTTGGTCATCAATATTTCGAATAGAAATAAATATTTGGTTATATCCACTTAAGTTTATACCGATGAGAATATTTCATTATAATATAAAATGAATTCTATCTTTACCTGAATATTTATAAATTTATCATATATATCCCACTTACTCCTAAAGCTTTCACATTAAGCACTTTATGAACCTAGAGAGAACTAGTACAATGAAGCGATGTTGCCACAATTAATACTCGCTTCTCTAATTTGCAGTGTTTTAGACTTGGTAAAGTAAGAATATAGAGGTAGAACGTGTATTTCGAGTGGATTCGTTTTTTAAATCAAATTTACCAAATTTTGGGGTAGAATTCTTAATTTATACAGGTGCTTCCAACGTGCTTAGGAATTGTACATTGGAAGGTAAGACCTCGTTAATCTTGATAGCTCCGGAGGGTTGTCGTTTTTATAGGGGTGACAGACGATTAACAGAAAAACACAATTGGGAGAAGCAGCTTTTCTAGTAGCATTTACCACTGGTTTGTTACAAATGGGTTTTTTATTTATTTGGAACACAAAATTGAAATATTTCATTCCTGGTGATCGTTCGGAAAAGATGCTATTTGCAAACCCCAGAGGGAGGTAAATAAGTTGAGAATATAAAAAATAATATAATGGAAAATCCACCCAGTACAACACAGTATTGAGATATGTTCTTCAGGAAGTCCATTTATCAGGGTAAGAAAACCGAGAATAACATAACCTAATCCAAGAATAACAATTTCATAGGTTTATGAAGTCAATTTTCTATGAGATGAATTTTAAAATTTTCAACCCCATTTCCACCCCTGCCGGGAGCCTTGAAAACCCAGTCGTGATGTTTATTTTGTTGAATCGACATATCTGTTATACCCCTATTCAACTAACATAACCATTGTTGATGATGATGTCAGATCCAATGATCGGACTTCATTGCTGCTTAAGGGTAAGTAATGGGTTTTGCAAAGGTTTATTATCATTTTTAGTTTAAATTTGCTCTTTCAGAGTGTGGTAGTCGTCGGAAGTACAAAAACAAAAATTACTCTATCCTCGACGTAAGGTCATTCAGATATATTCGAGATTCAGCAAGCACATGTCATAATTGTTAGCATGACGATGGATTCATAAGAAGGGACATCATGCTTTAGACTGATGATGGATGATGGAGTGGACATTCTTCAAACGTCATTATATTCACCTGCAGTACCAAACTTCATCCAAGAGTCTGACAGTCCAACCCTATATAATTTGTTTAATTAATTGCTTATAAATGATAATTTACTCGAGCATGTTGTCTTCCTAGAATGCGTATGCGCCTCAAATAGTTGAGTGTACCACCAACTGTAACCAATATCGATTATAATTGGTAGTGAAAAGAAAATTTGAATCATGTTTTGCAATTGTTGAAATATATGGAAATATGCACTGCTTCTGAACCCCAACTGGCGGGATACAAATACTAACACAAACATTGTTTCTGATATAGACATTTGTACATAATTATTTTCCAATGATTTATATAGAATAGAATATTTGAATAATAACATTTTTTTAGGAACTGTACCGATGAGGAGACCAAAGGGTAGAGGTAGTTACATGTGCTATTGCGGACGAACCTATTATGAAAAGAAGAATCTCATGAGACACCAAAAACTGAAATGTGACATTAAATTTGAGGAATTTACAATCATACAATGAGTTAGATATAATATCTAGCTTTCGAAAATAGAAAGCTACAAATGTTTTGCACTTCTATTGGTTTTGGGTCTTCCAGTGACAACAGAAAAGGCAAGAAAGTTATATTCGCCGAAACAAAGATGTAAGAATGACATATGGGACTAGATTGTGAAAAATATGACTTATTTTTAAATACTTTCAGAAGTACAAGTAGAAAATATTAATATAATTTCTCAATGGAAGTAGAACGATGAGAAAGCTGTAACCCCAAAAAAATTTTTAAAATTTCAAAGATGCAAAGGGACCTTTTCAATTTATTCAATTTTCACTGAACAGGTTACAAAAATTCAATACGAGTTTCGCTATACTGTAAGCTTCCTCAAGCTTTATGAACACGTTAAAATTTTACACCTCGTTAATCCTTAGCTCGCACAAGTTTCGGCTTCTGAGGGTTGTCGTTCGTAGGGGTGCTACAGCTGGTTAACGGAAAAACAGATTTAAACATAGAAAAGGGTGTAGTTAAAGCTGTTTTCTGAGTAAATACAGCACAATCCAAATTTAAAATGATGGATTAAAAAAAAAAAATGAAAGCAAAAAGGTATAAAAAAACAAGAACAAATACTGTTACAAATTTTCTTCTTTAATAATTAAAAAGGAAGCAATATAAAAAGCAATATAGAAGCAAAATTTATCAGATCAAGGTGGAAATGACTTAGATAAAGCTTTTGAAGAGTCAGAAATTTTTTTTCGACATTTCTATACAACTTGTAACAGAAACTGTTGTTGTTCTTCGTCTTTCGTCAAACAGAAATTGGAAGTCTTGGATTAATTTTACCCTTCTTTCACCTGTGTCGACAACTTTGAAACCGTTCACTTTTTTTATTTTCAATGTGTATTTTCACACCATCAGGATTAGAACTCAAAAACTACGTATCAATTTCAAATCTTTTGGAAAAATTCAGAGTTTGATGAGAAACAAAAAAATCAATATCTTTGTCCAAAGTATCCACTTGATGAAGACTTTGTTTTGCTTTCACATTATTCGGTAATAATGTCTTCACTTTCTCTAGCGGACGTCATTTTCTGTATTTCTGGTCATCCATCCCCTGTGTCGGAAAGATCACCTCCATCTCTTCTTGTTCTTCTTCTGATGTGCTGGTTGTTGAAGATTCCAGTAGTTGCAATAAAATTTACATCTTCTAAAAAGAAAAAACCCATTAAGCAGTAACAAGCAGTAAGCAAAGCACTCACGGAATAGGCTCAAGTAGATATTGAAAGAGAAAAAGAATATGGAAAACGTGAAGGAAAGAGAGAAAAACAGTACTATATATGGATGAGCAATATCAAAAAGGTCATCAAGGGCTGACTTGAAAGCTCCTACTTTTTCAAGCTCAACAACACAATTTTTAAAGTGTCCGGTTGGTATCTTAGGTTCCAAAAAAAAAAAAAATTACAACTTGCAGCTTTTCTGGTGTTCAATTTTATTTGGCATATATTATAAAATAAGCTGCGTAACACTTATCAATAGGATGGTAAATAATTAATTACACCATATCTTTCTGCCTTTAACTCGAGCCCGAACAAGCATGGCTCGTTGATGTTGTAGAAGACCTAGTTCCGCAAACCTCACAAGAAAAAACTCAGGCATCCCAGACAAGAATTCAAAAGGAATGATGTTGTTTATGACACTCCAGATAGTGATTCTCCAAAGAAAGGGTCCTTGGCAATAGCTTATTTGTAATCAATATATGAATTAGTTACCTGGAATATTAACATATCTATGTACATAGGAACAACTCATAAGGCTGGAGAATAATGAATAACAAAATTTACCTGTGCTATCATTTCACCTACTTTCAAAATCGGTCTTAATTACCTATTTCTTCATTGCAAACTAAATTCAATGAAGAGGAACAATTCAAATCTATTTGATCATCAAGCAATAATCCCGAATTTTTTCATCTATTGATTTCTAAACATTCCAAAAGGTTGAACCTTTCCTCTATTCAATTTGTACTTCTAATATTTATTACGGAATTGAATCAGATATCTTCACAAAAACTCTTGAAAATAAAATATATGTAAGAGATAACATTCAAGATTCAAGTCACTTGAAAAAGCTAATGTTTAGCGAAACATGTGATATATTTTTTCAATAAAGTTTGTGGAGATCAAATCGTTTAGGTGTAGTTTGTGAAATTACTATGGATCTTCATCAAGTAACGGCCGAATCAATCAGAAAAAAAAACACATGGAAGTTTCCCATATTTTTGTATGAAGAAAGAGAACTACGAGCAGAAACTTTTCTCTTCCTCAAATTACAGCTTAATCATTCGAAATAACTTCACTATGAAGTTTTCTTATGCAAGCCAGTCAAGTATATGTTTTGGGCTTCGTCAACAAAAGTAAAACAAGTTGCCTATTCTGTTGTCACCAGTTGAAAAATGAAAATATTTCGTTTATATCAATTATTCTGAATTAATATTTATACAAATATGTATATGGGTATATAGGGAATGAGACTGGTATTTCAGGTACACTATTTTCATGTACTTAAATTATATGTTTTTTTTATTAGGAATCCTATTCAAACCAACTTCATAACTCGAAATTTTCATAAAACTCTCAATTGAAATGTATTTCACGCTATAAGGTAAAATAATTACCAACAGTTATCGAATATTTGTTTGTTTCCATCACAGAATATATGTCAATACATTTTCTTGTAATAATTACTGGCTTCTAGTTAACGAAACTTGAAATTCATTCGGTAATTCTGTCTCTACTAGAGAAATCTATTTTACCTCTTATTCTAATGATTAAACTAGAAATAATTCAAGTACAAATTGTTAGTAAATTCTATATATTTTTAATACTTTTTACATGATTATATTTGCAATATAATTTATTGTTCACAATGAATTGTTGTATCATTGCGATCCCTTTCAAAGAACATGTCGAAAAAAATATACTTCTCCCTATAGAAATCAAAATTTGAGTCTGTAGACTGTATCGTGAAGAGAGACAAAAGAAAAAAAATTGGAGCTATCGACGTATCCACACAGTAGGTTCTTCAAAATACCCACCGGCAAACAACTACTTTCCACGCTGGACATTGAATTATAAGATATCTCGTAGAGGATGATAGTGTTGCAGATGCGTTTCATTCTTCCAACGGCAGGACCGCGCTGAAATCAATTGAGTAGATTACCTACCAGCTGAAATTTCAATAATCTCGTATAGTGACTGCATGGAGATCAATAATTCGAGCAAAATTCGAGATTTCTCCAATCTTTTTCAGTTTTTCGATGCAGCACGTTTCGTCAAATTACTGTCGGAAGACAACTATTTTCCGGACTAGTATCTCTACGGACATAGAAACATAGAAATATATCTGCCATACATAGAAATATATCTGCCATGTAAATTTTTGTTCAAGACATCAACCTAGTTTTTGGTTGGATAGCAGCAGGACCGGTTGAAAGAAATTCAAGTGCAATGCAGTACTGCCACAGCTGCAGCTCCTGATGAAAGAAAGGCTATTGTAAAATCCTGCAGGCTAGGCGAATTAAAAATTAGTTTCTTTACTGTTTCTATCAATTTTTCTGGGCATGCAATAGGCATTCAAACCGCATGCCAGGTTATCTGATTTCCTTTTCAATGCCAAAGATAAAGTGGACAAGTTGGAGAAGTCTGAAGTTTATAAGATTAAGTGTTCGTAGTGTAATAGTGTTTATGTGGGGACAATGTGGTCGAAATTTCTCAAAACGGTATATTCGACGTTTTCAAACCATTCCTTGGCATGCAACCACAAGGAAGGGTTGCAAGGAAGGGTTGCAAATGGTTTGGAATTCTTGGAAATCAATAAGCATAAACATTGCGGGTGCAACCTGTTAATTGATCAAATCGATCTAGTGGTTTTCAAATTAGCGTATCCACATTGTCACAAGTACACAAAATTCAAGAACTCAATTAAGCTGAGTACCTTTAATATTACCTACAGTAGTGTTATAAAAAGGCTAATTTAAACAATAATTTTTAGTTCAATGTATAAGTTTGAAAATGTCATTTTAGGACGAAACTGCATCAACGTTAGTTACAAATAAAAGTGGTAAAAAATATAGAAAGTTCCAATTACCTTTTCATCATGCTTCTTCTGGTGTAAGTTTCTACATTTCCATCAACACAAACGAAAATAATGGAAGGAACAGTTATATATTAGAAGTGATACCTGCAAATGATTCTCTTGGATACATACAATTTATTGTAATCAATTAGCTGTCCTAAGTAGAGAATTTTATGTTCTAAAGACGTGAGGAAGATACCGAGGGAGGCTGCTATTATGAATACACCGTTTTTAAAGAGAAACACGTTTTGAAAATTTACCATTGTTTTCCAGTTTTTCACAGATTATACTTCGATCTGTTGACAGTTTCTTCACGTGGTGTGAACATTTTAAGTGACGGTTTCCAGTGGACAGAATTCACACTAGTCTATGTCATTTATTTGTTGAAATCATCGGTAATGAAGTAAGTATTGAAAGTATTTATAATTCAAATCGTCAACATATGAATGAAGGTTACATTTTTGTGACCATTTCTATAACATAACCCCGCAACAGAATGAGCAATAGATCCGTTCGAACCCTCAAGTGTCTTCACTCATGGTTGGCTAATTACCACCTAATGAATAATTTTCCAAACTGGAATCAGCTGAGGCTGATGAAGAAAAAAGTTTTGTTTTGTTGCAACTGGTACCTTTTCTTATATTTTTTATTGCTCTATCGTTTGTTTCACTTCCATTGCTTGTTTAATACACCAAACAAATTACTTTATTTGGCAAATGAAGTCTTCATTGCCAGATCAGTTTTATATTTGTGTTGAGTGAATATTTATCTGACAAAAAAACTGAAATTAATTTGTGTCGAATAATATCAAGACAACTGGATTTTCAAGAACTCGGCGAAGTAACTACTTGACTCAACTTGACGTTAGATTACTAATAATTGACTTGGGCCATCAGGTAAGTAGCTTGAAAATCATGTCAAGCTGTGAATCCTTAATCTTGATACACATTGACAAGTACAGACCTTAATTATTACAATTATACTCATTTTCACAACAGGATTAGAGAAATATTTTTCTCTTTTCGAAAATATGACAATGTGAAGTTTGAAAAATCCACAACGGAATGTAGTTAACTCTCATTATTTTTGAAATATTTTGATGTTTGGTGGATAAATCATTTGAAATATTTTCCGGTCTC